TAGCCACATCAATGAAAAAAGTAGTGTTTTAAGTATAATCACAATCAGGACTTATAGCATAGCCAGGAATTTACTGGGCTTGAGAATAAAAAACTAACACAGAAGCAAAGAAGAAAAGATTAAAATTATAGTTCTGTAGTTACTACTCTACATTTCAAATTCATACACAGTTAAAACTAAAGCTTCAAAAACAGAGAAAAAAGAAAATCAAATTCTGACCAGCTGGTAGGTCAGAACCTCTCATGAATAGTGATAAAACAAAGCACCCAGCATACATTATTTAGAGAAATGCACAAAGTATTTTGATTCCAAGCCAATTTGAACAATACAACTCTACTGTTTATCAGTGACTCAATTTTTCAAATGTCTTTATAGAGTAAGAATGGAATTTGAACAAAAAATTGCCTTTGCAAGTCCAAGCATATGAAATGGCTACTGCAATGAGAGATACTAAACAGAAATTAAACCAGCAGCTACTCACAAACATCCTGTATAATGTGAAGCAGCCAGCGTAAATTAATGTCAACTTTGTTTTAAGGCTTTAATTAGCATGAAAACTTAGAGTGATCATTTCTGGCAGATGGTGTGCTTCAACACTTCCTAGGGGTAGCCTCAGCAGAGGGAAGATAGTGAATAAATGCAAATGTGCCACCACACAGTATCTCCCAGAATATCCAAAGCTCTATTCTGCAGAATCCCATACTACACATACAGGGCAAAGGCAAAATTAACTATTTTTTCTTTCTTTCAAATACTGAATTTATCATACATGTATTTTTAGCAGTTAAGTAACTTTTCCAAAAAGTCTCAAGTGGACACTAAGGCTTTTGAAACACTAAGAGCTTTTAAAAAGGCATGTAACTCTACAAACTGCACAAAAAATTAATAAACTTATTTCTAAGAACTTTGTGTCTAGCTTTGATTTTATTGCTGTGCTAGATTGTCCATCCTAAATTTGACATTAAATTCTTTCAAAGCATCTTGCCCACCAACAGCATCAACTTTGTAGAAATCTAAATCCTATTTCTGATCTCTTAACAATTTCACACTGGAGCTGTTATTAAACTGAATTTCACTTAATTTTGTCACACACCCTGTTTATTTCAACAGGAATACAGGCTATTTGCAGGCAATAGAGAAATTACCACTACTGAGAAATTAGTATCTTTTCTCTCCTTCACTGCTTTTTAACCGATTGTGAAGATCACATCTTTATTAGCCTGATTCACTGACAACACAATGCTGAACCCATCATACCACTTGCATTACATCTCTCCCTACAAAACAACCTTGGAACCAGCGAGGTATCAAAGATACATTTCTTTCTCACAGTATTCTGTGATTCTTGCATGTTGCAACAGTATTAATTTCAACTCAAACCTCAACTGGAGAAAAAAATCTTCAGAATATGCCTCATGCTCCTCTCTCTTTTTCTTTCCCTGGTGTGTGGTTTGGCTTACCAATAAAGCAACAACTGTCAGCACGAGAGGACAAGAGGAGATGGCCTCAAGTTGCACCAAGGGAGCTTTAGAATATTAGGAATACATTTATCAGGATTTTTTTCCCACCAAAAGGGTAGTAAAGCATTTTAAGAGAGTGTCCAGAGAAGTGATGGAGTTACCATCCCTGAAAGCGTTCAAAAGATGTTTGGATATGGCACCTGAGGACATCATTTAGTGGTGAATGTGGCAGTGATGAGTTTAGGAGCAGAAAACACTAGACCTGTCAGCTGACAGTTGAAGAAACAAATGCTCTGCTCTCTTGCAATCACACTGCCTCATGAAACAGAGAGCACGGTATCAAAACTGGAATCTAGTTTTGCTTTGGGACATTTGCAAAAGTCTCCGTTCTATTCCATGTTTTTAACAACATCTCAGAAATTCCTTGCATCTCTACAATGAGATAATATGCAAGCATGTTTATATCAGTACCAGGCCCACAGAGATAATGACTGTATTAACCCAAGACTACCTGAGTACTGTTGACATCCAGCTGAAATGGTACAGATTGTCAAAACAGGCCTTTGAAGCTGTTCGTATCACCACACTTAAACTCAGTGTGGTAATGATAATTCTGCATTGCTTTTAGGTCCTGTTTATATGAGGGACATTTGGCTGCATTAATGAAAAAGCATGAAAATGCCACAAGTCTGCTAAACTGTAATGTCACTCACTAAGGACCATAATCATCCAAGTTCAGTGGAAATTCTGGGTGTACTGATGGCAGCCACAAGACACAGGCCAAAAAGGAAAAGCCACTGGTTCTAGCAAAAGATGAGAATTTGAACGATTTTCCTTTAAATAAAGGTATCATAATACAAGGCAGAGCTAAATAAATAAAGATAACCCATGGACCAGGTCAAAGAGAAATTACAATTAAGCTTTATTTATGTTTAATTATCAATGTCAGATAATAAAGAACATTACACACAAGCAGCTTTAGTTTTACATGCTAAAATGAGAATTCTCTTTTAAAAGTGAAGTTCTTCACGTTCAAGAGTGAATTATTTTTTAGCTAATAAAACTACCTTCCAAGGTAGTACCTTCCTCTAACTCTGGCCATTTAATTATTCCCAAGAGATTCTAAAACTCAGGTGTCAGCTTCCTCAAGAAAGAAAATCTTTTTTTTCCCCTGGAATTAACTAACTAGCAGAGATGTACATTTGCAAACCAAGAAGAGAACACATTCTTATTGCATTGCAAACTGACAATATAATTTCTCCACATTACCAGAAAAATTTTAGCATCAGAAGAATTCCATTAGGGAATGACACAGTTCATTATGGTTTTCCTATTCTCACCACTTTGGCTTATTTTTTGTTTCACAAGGTAACACGATGTGTATTTATATATTTAAAAGAGTATTGCTCACTTTGACTTACTGAAATGCTATCATAGTTATGTTTTTTAAGTTAGAATTAATCAAATAATGACACAACTGAGCCACAGTTCAAAATACTCGTATCCATTTGCACATGAACATTGCAATCCTTATGACTATTAGCTCTGGCCCACTGGCATCAAACACAGCACTTGGTTTGAATAGTGCATCATGAAAATGTTTCATTAAAATGTGTACTCACATGTTCAGTTTTTGTAAACAGCATTGTAGCAATGAAAGACTGATATACTCCTGAAGAAAGAATATTCCTGTAGTGTTACACTATTTCACAAATTCCTACACTGAAGTAAAAGGCCTTTTTAAAATAAACACTAATAAGGAAACATTGACTCCCCTATACTATTAGGCCCAGATAATTTCAATGTGAGTGTTAGCATTAGAATGCATACCTTAGCACATATGGAAAACGGTTTCCCACAGGAAAATCAGACTTTCTTAATTTTCCTTTAAAGTAAACTAATGAAAAGTATAGTGTCATTGCAAGGAGATTCAAGAACTGATATATTTGATGACTGCCAAGTTGGTATTGTCTTCTGCTCTAACGCAACTGTGCAGTCAGGTCATGCAGCAGAACATATTCATTGTAAAAATTAAAGAAACCAATTGTTAGAAGTTGTTACCATAGCATTCAGAGTGTGTTTTAGCAAAGTAATTGAAAGATCAAACAGGAACAGCATTTGGTGCTGTGACTCAATAGACACAAATTCTATTCACAGGCTGCACTAACAACATCCTTTGAATCTCTTTATTAATTCAAAAGCATTATGTTTTCATTCTGACCAGGCAGACCTTCCTGACATTTTCCTCTCAAGCATTCTGTTTTCACACTAACTGGTTGTGCGCCAAAGTGTTCTTTGTAAGACAAGGTTATATTCATGAGACAAATTATTAGTAGGATTTGGTCTCTGAAGAAAATCATGTTTAGTAACTGCTCTTGAAAATTAAGATGTAAAATACAACTTTAGTGTGTTTCACCTTATTCTTTTTATGGCAACACCCCAGGCTGCTGGCATTCTCTAAAAATATATAAATAAAAGAAGCAAATGATGTTTAAAAGCCAGTTCATGTAAGCAGGTACATCTCAGAGATCAGTGACAGAGGAGTAATAAACCTACTTAGGTCCTTTCTTCTTTTAAAATGAATGGGATATAGAGAAGAAAGTTTGATCCCATAAAGCACAAGCAAACCACTCTACACACACAGCCTTACCTAACTAGAACTCTTCTTCACTCTCAAGACTTGAAAACCAAGAAATTGTAGTGGTGGACACAGAATGGTTGTAAATCCTAACTCAGAACTTATAATGTGGATATCTTTTCTCAGCTTTTAACTCCATCAGTCAAGCAACCAAACATTCTCTCATTTCCATGTCTTTAACTGATCTACTGCTGTACACTGAATTTTTCTTGTGTTACCTGTTCTTTTTTCCCCATTTTATAGAACTCAGTATCAAAACAAAAAAAAAGACATTTACAAAATTGATTTCTTTTTGGAAGAAATGAAATATCAATGCTGATAATACGTTCCAAAAAGAAAGGCTAGCTATAAGAGTACAGGTCTTTCTCAAGAGCTATGCATATGTTAGCCACAAAGTCAAGCAGGAATAACAAATAGGGATAATTTGTCATTAGTTCAGCGTACATTGGGTTCCACTAAGTTTGCATGAAGAAGGCTTACATGTAGCTTGAGATTTGAAGGAATACCATTCCCCTTTTCCTCAGCCCCCCCAGACATACTGCATTGACTACAAATCAAAACCAAGTTTGAACAGTTATGATGTCTTGTATAAAACTGCTCTGTTACAACAATGCAAAGGCTCATATCAAAGCAATCGATAACTTAAAGTAACTTAAAAAATTTTCCTCCATGGGACTAGTACACACAATATTGTACCTTTTAAACATGCAGAGGCAAGATACAGTCATTAAAAATTATTTAGGTCTTCCATAGTAAACCTATGTAACCTATATATAACCTATAGTTATATAACCTCAGTTAGAGTAAACAGCTGTACATATGACTGGGCCTTTAGAGGCCTAGAAGAATATGTAATAATCCCTATGCAACTAACATATGTAAATTAAGGTTTTACAACATACCTGGCATGGAGTTTGCTGCTTTTTCCATTTTCTGGAGGGTACTCTTCTATAACATCCTGTACAAAAGGTGGCTGCTGCCGTGCTCTGGCGTAAGGCAACGTTCCCACGTGGCTAAACATATCACAAGACCTAGAGGGAACTGTCCCCTTCTTCTTCCTGGGGAGAGTGCCATGGATAGAGATGCCTTGGAAAGAGTTTGAACGATGTTCAATTGGTGAAGGTTTTGTAGTCAAAAGGTCCATGGAAGAAGCTAATGAAAACTGGTGGTTCACTGGGCTGTTTCTGGAAAGACTTGAAAATTTTCCAGCAGCTATCATTTTTGGTTCTGGAAAAACAAAAACAAGATTTCTTTATTTTTATTTCATTATTCTTTTAACAAAAACAAGATCCTGTATATCAATCATCAAAGTCCTTAAAGAAAATTAAGTAGTACGACTAACAAAGATACCTGAAACTGAACTTTTGCTTTGCATTGAGGCAGTCAGATATCTCAAGACCCAGTCACTCTGCTCCCAATGTACATCAAACACACATGTATATAACTTTATACATGTTAAAAGTCACAACAAAAAACAACCAGTTTGGACAAACATGCAAGAGCAGGCCCTGACTTTTGGGACAATTCTCCATTTTTATCAACAAAGTTCCTCTTTTTTGCTTTTTCACATCCTCTGTAGACTCAGACGTCAACTTCGAATCACTGACAACAAGCAAAGTTTTAAGAACATTTTGTCAAAAAATTAAGGACAGTACAGCTTGGTTTGGAAGAACTGTTTTTAAACCCAGTAGCTGGCACACTATGAAGAAAAACCTGTTGCTAAGGAGTCTTGCTCAAGTAATAAATCTAGCAGATAACTGGTCGCATATTTTTAACAGGCTGTAAACTAAACGGCTCTACCCAAGAGATAAGGGCAGGAACAGATTACTGGAATTCTCTTCTTCAGCATGGCCAGCCTGGTGGCTCAAATCGCTGTTGACACAGAGATTTGCATACCTGTCAGTCTCTGGTACAATCAGTTGCAGTCTGCTGTACAGTACAGGTTTTTCTGTTAGCATGAGCAAAAAGCTTTGCGAGAAAACACTTCAGGCTCATTAACAAATTACAGTTCTGTTCCTCAAAAAATGCTGCCCTGCACTCAGTTTATAGTGTTTATAGGGTTGTATTACAGAAGACAGGCAGCCTTATCCTATGCGGATTGTGTTAGCCTGCAAAAGCCACTCTATGGAACATACCACCAGACCTGAAGGGCAAACAGTCCTGTATTATTTAACCTAGGTGTTAGCCAGGTGCTTCCCATAGAAACTGGAACAGCCACAGATGCTGCAGAGATCGATATGAACTCAGAAAGCAGAAGCACTGTTGGAAGTAACAGTTATGGACACGGGGGGTCTGTTCTGACCTCAGTCAATTCCATGCTGAAAAACCAGAGGAGCACCCTGAAGGCCCAGCAGCCTGGAAATCAGCTGCTTACAGCTGCACAAGAATTCCTCCTGTTTTGAGGAATGCACAGGTGTTGCAAGGAAAACAGAAGTGCCTCTCTAGTCCTACTCCCTTCTCCAGCCTTAGCATCATAGCTACAATCAAAATGTCCCTGCACTGAAGCTACTGTTACTTCTACTCAGAGGTTAGCGTAACAGGCTTACTTTTACAGCAGTCCTAAAGGTGATCTCAGAGTATGTAAAAATTCTGCTTTTTCCTGTCAGCTGCACTGCAGAGATTCACCAGCTGCATAAGGTTTTCCGACTTCAACAAAAAATTCCTTCCCAATTCTCCTGTATTGAAAGTCCTACCATAAATACTCAGTAATTTTTTTTTTTTTTTACTCTTCAATTTGCCAAGCCTCTGTCAAGCACAGGTACTATGCACTATAGTAGAAAAGTCACTGGAAATATCATTTCTACCTAGGGAGAAACTGTTCGACTCTGGTCACATCTCTCAATGAAAAGAGTAGAAAAGATCTGAGGTGCTAGCAAAGAACTGGAATTTTTTTTGTCACTCAGATCCAAATAAAATACAAAATCCTAAAGAAACCAAAATACATTTTCACAAAAATTCTGCTCTAAATTATCACACTGATGTGCAATACTAAATCATCTCTCCAGTTATAATGTGGTTAAAGGACACAGTTTCTGCTAGTTTTGGCAAGTATTAAAAATATCTGATAATTATTTTCACAATAATTGTTGTAAAGTCAGTTTTGCATTACAACTGTTCTAAGTGAAAGAACTGGTCCACAGATAGGAAGATCAAAAATGCAAATAGTTACTATAAACCTGCAACCTCGTCTAGCTAAAGCAAACTGAGTGAGCTTGTTTCTTGTAAATTCAGCTTCATTATTAGAATAGAATTACATAAATCACCTCCAACAACTGAAGGAAAAAATGGCTTCTTATAATTCACACAATCATTTGAAACTCAACTTTGTGTATTTGCTGTAGAAAAGCAAGAAACACCAGTTGTGGAGTCTGAAAAACTGGAAGCTAGCTGGTTCATATTGTACAAATCTTGTTCTCCTTTCAAGGCCTGCTGAGAGTCTGTACTCAATTATTGTACTATCTCATTTGTTTATCTAAAATCCACCCCCAAACCTCTGAATTCCAGCTGTTTTAGTTCAGGTTATCCAGTTAGAGAGTTTTCCTTAGCCTTTCCTGCAAGTCTCCCATAGTTATGCTGAAATGGAACACAGGACATTACCTGCAAGCAGGTATCAAACTCAAGCTGTTATAAATGTAACTGTAGAAAGCTTTGGTTTAATACCTGATGAGTCCACAATAGGCTTACTGTGAGGAGAAATTGTCAACCACTTCATGTTTGAGGATCCACAAAGAAAGCTAAGAATTCCCTCTGCTAACCCAATCACTAGGTAATTCTTACAGCAACCCAGTAGGTTTTCAATCCAACAGTCTGAGTTTTCAACAAATTAATGACCCCCTGATGCACAGCATTTTCCATTTCACCCCTACTCCTAAGAAGCCCTTAAGAATCAAAACCAAACTCACAGAGTTGACCCAATCATTGCTTCTTTTAAGTAGAACTCATATGACTTACAAATTTAATCTCTCACCCTCAAATTCATACCCGAGTACTATACTGACGAATCAAGGTAGAGTTCCACAGTTACTACAAAAACACCTACATTCAAGAACTTGCAATACACTTCGCCACAAGTATGTATACAACTTTGATAATATTTCTAACAATCCTCCCTGCAAAATCTCTTAAAAAAAACCCTCAGAAAATCCCAAACAAATGAAAAACCTCACAAAACAAAACCCAAACAAATAAAAAACCCAACCCAAACAAAAAAACCCAAACATAACTGAGAACAACAGGTCTGCTAGCTTCCACCACACATTTATCCGCTTGCCCATGTGCTGCTGTACTATGAACTCTTCATAAATATTAACAGAGAACTACAACAATCAGCTTGGTAACCAAAGTCCTGCCAAATTATCTATACAGTTTACTTGTATTGAATGTAAACACTGGAAAGGGGGAGCCTCTTCAGCTGAAGATGCTGGAATGCCTCAAATACTTCAGTATATGATTCAAAGAATGTTTGACTTTACTAGATACAGAAATCCTGAAAATTTTACTCCCTAAGAGACAGTGTGCTTTGAGCATTGGCCATTATTCAATCAACAATAGAAAAAGTAGAAATTGTAAGAGAACAGTGGCTCAAAAGGAACTGAAATTTAACTGTATGCATTCCTATTTGTCAAAATGCAGCAACTAACAAAATAACACTTTGGTAGTCATGCAAATTTCTCCTAACTAGGGGCAAACAAGATGGACTTGTGCCAATACAATGTTAAAAATGGCAAATGAATTTGTATTTATACATAGTGTGACACTTCTCTTTCTTCAGTTTTAAATTTAGAAGAATAGATGGGAACAGAATTGTCAGGAGTCACAGTATGAATTCAGAGAAATAGAAAGCATGAAAGGTTTTCAGGTAACTTCTGACATGTTCCATTTTTTTTTTATGAAGGTGAGCAAATTCAAATGAAGAGGCCTCTAAAATCAACATGGCATTTAGGGTAACAGTATCAGATTGGACATAAAATGAAATACGTATCTGGTGGGTAAGTCCAAACAGCTGGGGTTTGGTCTCTTCATATCATTGATCAAAACAAAATGAACCACGAACAATGAAACAAATAACTTGCAGTTCCCTAAAACAACATACTAAATATTCTTCTGCTTGTTCCATCTTTGGGATGCAAATCCAAATTTTCTGGTTCAGCTTTCTGAAATCTTTCTGATGTTTACACAGCCTGAGGAAGCGTTCTGGTGCTTCATTCAAAATGGCACAGGTATAGGATTAAGTGTACACCACAACAAAACCAATGGCAGTGGCTTCTACTTTGTTGTTTAAATATGTTGGAGGAAGAGAAGTGAGGGAAAGGGAAGTCTTCAGTTCAGCCCCAGAGATGCATGAATGGCATAGCAAACAGTCCAAGGCTGTATATGCTCATGCTAGGGGAAACCTCTTGAAACAGAAAAACAATTCAAGAATTCCAAATCAAACTCTCAAGCTATTTCAAAACTCAGAGTTATATCTAAATCAATTCTGGATATTAAAAGACCCACTTTTCTCTCACTTATTGATCTGGCATTTGGGTGATTCTCATTCTCTTCCTTAGATCAAAATCCCTAGAGTTTATACCTGGTGTTGTACCACCAATCTTTACCATTATATATGCTATGAAGCCAAGAGGGCTTGAATGTGTTTTAAGATATTCAGCTCAGTGTTCTCAGGTCTTTAAAAGACGGAGTCAACTTTTGTGAAAATTCTACTTACTATTGCCACATCCAATCTCCTCACAAATTCCTCCCACCCATCTCCCCTCCCTCCCTTGAAATCAGTAACAATGAATTTCAACAAGTGGAAGATCCATTATTCTCTTCTCCCTGATATTGGAATATTTGGAAGCACTATGCAGATACACACAGAAAAAAAAGAAAAAAGTGAACATCCTTAATGGTGAAGAAAGTCAAGGTCAGAACAAAAAGGCAGATGAATTTCCCCAGGTTTTTTAAAATTTTGTTTTGTATGTGTAGTAAGAGAATAAGGGAAAAAGATAAAGCATGACTTTAAAAGCCTCTAAAGTTAATTTGTATCATAGGAATAAATACAATCAAAACTGTAGACATAAATTCAACGTGGATTTAATATTGACTCCCTAGAAGCAGTGTAGTAGCTTCATTATTTTAACAAAAAAAAAAAAGGACTTCTGCTCCCCAAAATGACTTAGAAGCAGCTTTCTGCAACCTCTATTTTCTGCTTCTGTTATGAGAAACTGATACAGTAGCTTCTATAG